ATCTTAATGAAACTTTCAGAACGTAATCATATTGTTTAAATGTATGTATATTCCGAAGATCCATTCTCTAGTATTTGAAATACGCCTTTTACAAAGATGAGGGTGAGGAGTGGATATAGGGGCGGAGTAAATTTTAACAAAATCCGAAACTCTAGCTTGAAAGATGTTGGAGATATAATTTTTTAACTCATTTTCGATAAGGTTTTTTATCGATAACAAAATAACGGGATGAGTTATCGAATTTTAATGATAAAGTCAATAAGCGCGCTCTATGTACGGACATTTAAAAAAAATTTCAAGTCTCTAGCTCTTATATCTTCTGAATTCGACGCGCTCATACATACGGATGGACGGACGGAAGGAGAGACAGACGGGCAGGGCCAAATCGACTCGGCTTGTCGCCCTGATCAAGAATATATATACTTTGTGGGGTCTGCCACGCCTCTTTCTGCCTGTTGCATACATTTTAACAAACCCATTTTATGCTGATTTCCCATTTTTCTATAGGTTCAGGGTATAAGGACTTCTGGATCATTTTTGCTTTCTCACAAAATAATCGACATGTTGCAGTTCTGCAATTCCAAGCAGCGAGAAGTGCGAATTATTATTGAAATATCAGTTGCATAGGTTCAGGGGATCTCATAGTCTAGCAGTCTCGACTACAGCTTTCTAAGTTTATTGTGGGTAAAAAATAACAAACTCGAAAAATTTGTATATATCGATATTGTAAAGCTGCATATTAAGAATTTATTTTTCTTCAACAACCCTAAATTTGACCCATCATGAATATTAAAACACTTTCATATTCAGCATTATTACATAAGCAAATGAACGAAATTATTTAATATATACCAGGAGGAAAAGCATAAAACTTACTGTATGCGTCCCACGTAATTTTTTCAATTAGAGGCTTTATTTGTTCATTGATCATTGCCATTTCAACCGCAATAAGGGCTCTCTCCGTTTCATGTGCTCTGTCTTTAATGTCATTGCACCATTCGGCGATTCGTTCCAGTTTAATACGGGCTTGCTGTTATTTTGATTATTATTATACTTTTTTTATGTTCACATTATTTTACTCACCCAAAGGTTTTCTTCTAAACCAAAAAATTTTAATAGATTGGGTGTTAGGTCGCATTCCAAAAGACGTAGTACTTTTATGTCCTTTAGAGCTATTTTAAGATTTTCTTTAAAGTTTACGGAAAGGTTTTCGTCGTCGTCCCTCTTAAGCAGAGAAGTTGCCATGCTTTCTTGAATGCCAGACCAACATTCAACAACCCATTTGGCTAGTATGCTTTTAATAAAACCATTTACTTCCTGTAGCATACGGTTATAAAGGTCTAAAACATTTTTCCCTCGTTCGTTTTCAAAAATCCTACAAGCAAGTATATTACATTAAGATGAGGAAAAAATAATTTTATTTTTATGTTAATACTAACGGGTAATCATATAGATCGGTATCCTTATATATAGAGGTTATCCGATAGCGAAGTTTATTAAGTAATGCAATAGAACCTGAAGTTTTTGGAAAACAGTCATCAGTCGGTATAGCCTATTAATTTAGTATTAAGACTGAAAACGTTTATAAACATTTTGTAGATAAAGTTTAGTTACCACTATTCCCTTTTCGGAATACATCTGCTTAAGAATATTAAAGTCTTCCTTCACATATAAAATTTCATTTTCAAAATCGTCAACAATAAAATGCATGAATGCATCAATGTGAGTCCTTATTATAGGTCGAAGGAGAATTTGCCCACCAAGCAGCAAATCATGGGAATCTTCAAGTGCTTTTTGAAACTGAGTTGCAATCATTCTTTCTAACATATCAGTTTTTTTCTTAAAATTAACGCGATCTATTTCAAAATTAGAATTTTCTATTTCTGGATCTAAGGGGTTATATTGTATATTGGTCCATTCACGATAATAGCTTTTATAGTCCTCTAATATCTTTTCAAGAGCTGCTGTAATTTGTCGACCCTTCAAACCACCAATAACTATTTTATCCAATTTCATGAAGTCCCGGCCAGTATTAAATAACTCTTGAAGTTCGTGAAGACGGTCAATAAAAAGGTCTAAGCGTTGAAAAATTTTTGCTGCCTGCCATGTCCAATCCTGCGAATTGAATGTTGTACCAATTTTGAATTTTTTTAATGAATTTCGGCACTCTCTATAAATTGTTCTAAGGTTGTGAACAAAGTTATTTTTAAATTATTTTTTTATTAATATGGTTTCGAAACTTACTTATAATATTCGATATGCTGTATATTCATAATTATTTTTTTATATGCCTCTTCTACATCCCCTTGAAACATTGAATCAGGCTCAATCGTACGAATAACACATTCAATTAGTGAATTGTGAAAAAGATTAAAAAAAAGTGTCATATTATCAAGAGTGTGAAAATAACGAGAGTGGCCCCAAACAAGTCCAACTGTTAGCATTAATGGTCTGATTTCCATTCTATTATCATCCATAATATTCATCTCAAACCTATCGATTTTTTTCTTCTAAAAAAAAAAAAAAAAATTTTTTTTAAATATTGACAGATTTGAAAGGCGGCTAAAATTTTAATTAATAATTAAGACAGCTCTAGTCGAGTCTGCTCGACAACGATGTCCCCTAAACCCCTCGAGGAACTGATATTTCAATAATTATTTGCGAATTTCTGCTTATACAGAACTGAATTGCTTAATAACTTTCCTTGTCGATGGACTATCTCCAAACTTTCAGATCGTGATCAGAAATACGTGCATGTGCCAAAGCACAAGTGTCTAGTACTTGAAATACGCCTTTTACAAATATGAGGAAGAAGGGGTGGATATGGGGATGAAGGTTACAAATAACAGAAAACCAAGTAAGATGACTCCAGTCGAGACTGCTCGACTAGGAAATACCCTGAACCCTCCAATCTGATATTCTAATCATTCTGCA